CTGTCCAATGGGCACTCATGCGGTACGGCTTGGTGTACTACCCGATGCCAGTTGCCAAAGTTGTATGGAGGAGGGCGAGGTGGAATCATCCCAGCACTTTCTCCTCCTATGTCCGGCATTCGCTAGACTGCGATTGAAATATCTCGGCAATCACACGTTTGGCCGTCTTAACAAGTTTGTAGTCAGCACAAGACGTCTCGTCGACTTGTAAGGGTCTTTTGATCCGGACTATAGGAGTCGTAGGTATCACAACGGACTGGCGTCTTAAGCTGTCCAAGTGGGATCCCTTCTGGGATCGGCCTCCTAACCTAAATAGGTACGGATCCTAAAGTTGTAGATATTTTTATTAACTACTTTTTTTGCCATATATTTTTTTCTGTAGAACTTGTAGTAGTCGTAAATCGAAATAAACCGTTTTTATCCCTTTAAAATTCAACCATGCCCTTACTTTGCACTTCACGAATTGGCTTGCTCTTAAAGTCTTTTTTCTTCCATTTCTGTTATTTTATCTTTCGTTTTCGATGGGTTTTAACCTACTATAAATTTCTTTCACGTTATTCCATTTTCGTTTCAGCACTGGTCTCTAAGTATCTTTTCAGAAAAAAATTAACGTTTGAGTTGAACTAAACTAAAAAAGACTAAAAACTACAGCAAATTTACCACCAACAAGGCATGTTACAACATATTAATAATTGTTATAAAAATATTAAAATTCCCAAAAAATATTAAGTAATGCTGTTGAAATGACAGTCATCGATTCTGACTAAATTCTGTTGTCCTACCGAGTATGCCGCACCTCAACCTTATCAACCAAAAACCAAGCCGAGGTCCCTAAAAATGTTTTGTATTTGTATTCCACCTAGTTGTTTGAAAATCCCTAAGGAATTCTTGTCTTGAAATTGTGGTAAAAATGTTAAAAATATGAAAGCTATGCAATCTTACTTGAGTAAATCAAAAAATCTTGAAATTAAAAAATTTTGCTTAATAGATCAATAATAAACATATTGCAATTCATCTATTTAACATATTTATTGTACACTTTAGTGCAAGGATCATAGAATATAGCGGCATAAACTTCAATAACAATACCAATATCTCCTACATTACGCCACGATCTAATGTGTTTGTCTGTCAAACGCACTCTAAGAAATGTAACGAGACGAAACTGTCATAATTTCTAGTTCAATTTTTCTTGCCTTAGCCAATTGGTGAGACAGCCCAAAAAGATTTTGGGGTATTGTAAAAAATACTACTGTATGAATTGTTTTAAAGTTTTAGGTGTATATATAGTTTAAGAATATTCCGTAAAATAAAAATTAAAGTTTTTGGGATATATGCGATTTCCGACGCGCTAAAATCAGGTTTCCACCACTACAGTGGTTACGGACTTTTCCGTGGATGAAACCCCAAACAAAATTCTCACTAGAAGATAAAAACAGTTGAATTTTACTAAAACAACAGAACCAAAATGTCATTATATGGAGAACTCTATATACAAGTACAACATGCGGAGTGATAGTATTCAGTTCATGTGTCTCCAAATAATCACTCAAGCAAATTGTAGAAATTCTGTTTTAAAAAAAAATGTGTTTAAAGATAAACTGATAGCTAGACTTTAGCAGTCTGTAACGAAAAACTATTTGAGATTCGATTTATTACTTAATTATATGCATGTTATTTTTAATGAAATATGAAAAAAAGAATAGATTTTTTAAATCTCATACAATATAATGAGTGCCGCTCAAATTATATTGAATTTATACTAACAAGCAATTTGCCGGATATAGTTCATGTACATTTTTAAAGAAAAATAAATTTTAAACTAAATAAAAATAAATATACATGTAATATGTATTTATAGTGATGATAGACGCTCAGTTTTTGTTGAAAATTTAGTAATTAATACATAAAATGCACGCACACCACCATATTTAGGTTTATGGACTAATCAAATGTATGGAAGTTGTGGGAATAAACACGGGCTCATATGCATTTATAAATAAACATGAGAAAACTCGCGGCACCTGTCAAATGCGTTGGCAGCAACCAGCACTGATGGGTGGCAACACACGCCGGCACACAGGTGCGGCATAAATACCCAACCACACACGCTCGATCGCATAAAACCAGAGGGTCAATGGTGCCTCGCGAATGTAATCATGGCAGTAGGGCTTTTGGCTTTTGGCGCGCTATACCATCGCATACATACATACATACAATATATGTAAGTTTAAAGCGGTGACGCGCCAATAATTGTCACGGCAAACTGGCATATCACCGACAACAACAACAGCAACATCCTTAACAGCAAAACGGCAACACAGAAAGCTGTTGAAAATTTAATAAAATCAATGGGCCACAACAGCGAGCCAACCGCCAGTCGACAGTCGCCGCATTAAATGCCAAAAGCCAGCCGCAAAATGTGTGGTTGACAATAAATAAAAAGTGCCACAAAGCGAATGACAGCCAAACGGAAAATAGTCTGTTGTTTGACAAACGACACAGGCGGTCCCGAAAATTCAGCGAAACAAGTTTAATGCGTTGGTGAATCAATATGCAGGCATAAATATACAAGTGCATGTTTGCGTGAGTGTGGGAGAGAATGTGTGTGAGTCTGTGTGTATTTGTGACCGTGTGCATTTGCATGAAAATTTTCAGTTTGAAATGTACGCGCCTGCATATTGGCAGCGATGCACAAAGTCAATGTGACCAATCGACCTACTATCATGCAGACAACAACATTAAAAACCACAGCAAAAATGTGTCCGTGAGTCCCGCTGATGACTGAGTCAGCCGCGTGCCACATTAGTTAGTTAGCTGCCATCGTCCCTTTGACATGACGCTGTGCGGTATTGTGACGCAATTGAATACACGCACAAACGCACATACAAAGATATTTTTAGGGTGGGCCAAAAAAAAACTTTTAATTTTTATCCTTAGAAATATCCGATCATTCGAAATGATTGAAAAAAATTTGTTTTTAAAGAATTATTTTGTGAAAAAAAAACAATTCTTTAAAAATGCAGGCGAAAGCCCAACCTCACGGTGCTTAAGAGCTCAGCGGATCAAAACACTGCGTTGTCAGCGCCCTAAACAATGCAAGCTTTTTGCAATAATTTATTTGGACACCGATTGCAGTGTAGAATGGATACACTAATAACCTGGGTCATGTTCGAGGTCGACCCAAAACCTCTGCCGTGCTATGGGTCCGGTTTTTCAGTTCTTCCTGCATTCAGGTTTAAATCACGGCCACCACGAATCTTCCCAAAGCGCCAAGCCCATTGGACCGAAATCCAAGGGCTTTCTGCTCCCTGTGGTAACAGGTTAAAGTCTTCGGTAAGACCTTGTAGCGGTAGCTATTGCCAGTTGAGCACCCATCAAATATAATTTGCAAAATGCAGGAAACATTCAACAAAATAAGATAATATTCCTGTGTTATTTAAATAGGAAATCAAATAACAACACGCCACCTGTCAACTCGAACGACATTTTCACGGCATCTGAGCAAACAGAAAATGTTTCTTTTGGCCCACCCTAATAAACATATACAAATATAAAAAAATACACGCCTACAAAATATGTGCGGCAGTCAGGCCAACTCACAGTCAACTAATTCTGCGCATAAACACCTGTATTAGGCATTTTGCTATCTTTTTAGTGTTATTGTTGTTGCTTTTGCTTTAGTGGTTGTGGTTATTGTATTTTTTGTTTTCTACTAATTTCAGTTTCATAATTAAATTCCATTTCAAATTCAGTTTGATGCGCCCCAAGTTGGGGCTATACACCTAGATATGTAAGCTCCAACTAACGGACCACCAGCAGCATTGTGCCACAATACCAAAATAGCGTGCAACATGCCAATACAGAGCGTTAGGTGAAAGTGCGATGCCACTACACATTTTTTTATTGTTTTTGTTTGTGCGCGATAAAACGCAAATGCGCAAATTTTATGTGCATTGAAATGCATAAGCACACACATACATATATGCATAAATTGTTTTAATGATTTGCCGTGTCGAAATTTCAATGAAAATGTCTACTGAAATTAATTTGATTGTAATTAATCTGCGATATCATTAACCAACTCAACTCGAGTCAACTTAGCTCAGAGGCAGGCAGTCTAGCGCAGCTGTTCACTCAACTGCGTGGGTAATAACTGTATGGTTGAGTTGAGCAGCAATGTGATCAATTATAGCAAGCAAACATTTTTTCAGATTATAGAATTAGGTTTTGAAATAAAAAAATAAAAAAATAATACTATTTTAAATTAAAACTTGGGAATTTAAAAATAATTCTTTCTTGAACAATACACCCAAGTATTGTACATATTTTTGATATTTCACGCAGCTGTACCTAGAGTTGTATTAGATTCAATTGTATATGTAAAACTAAAGTTACTCAAATCCACGAAAGCCAGCTTTTAAATAGTAATAATTTAAAATTTAAACTCCACAGAAGTTCTCGACACATCTTTAAAATTGGCATAAACAAATAATTTGCTAAGCCTTAAAAAAGTTTTTTATAGTAGCTGCCTTTTTGGAATCTTCCCAAAATATTGAAGACAGATAGAGATTACTTTTATAACAACATATTTGGAGCAACATAAGACGTCGCTATCATCGAAATATTAATATGTGAGGAGAAAAAAAAAATATCTAGTAGTAATTTTTTTATAAAGTTATTTTAGTCAAGGTAGGTTGAACACATAAGGCACAGTTCACCATGAGATCAAGTTTTCTTCGTCTTCAATTTTTCTGTTAAGTCTAAACTAATTAAAGTATTTATATAACGGAACGTTTGAGAAGACAGCATTCCCACTAGGTTTGCCAGAAATGTCTCCTTGAAAACGGTATATACGGAATGGGAGAGTTCAATACTTTAGCTTACATCCTAACCCCAAAACGTACTAAACTTTTGTGATAAATATCCTTAAAATAATTAGCTTTACTTTAAAATTTAGTTAAACTAATCAAAAAAATCATTTTACTTCTTTCTTGCAGATGATTTTGCGGATAACAGTAGTAACCCTCCTGCTAGCGGTCAGCTTCAGTGATGCCGTTGTTGTGAAGCCGCGGCCACAATATGGCCCACCACCACCACAGCGGCAGCCACACCGTGAATACGGCGTACCACAGCAGATACCGTTTCGTGAATATGGCCCGCCAGCGCTAAAATATGGACCACCCAAATTCATTAGCGGCGGTAATGGTGGCAGCTTCTCTTCAAGTAGTAGCAGCAGCAATAGCTTTAACAGTGGCTTCAATGAACAAATTAAAACGCATTTCGGTGTGCCAAAGCCATTCTATGGTCCACCACATATCCAGCATAAGCCTGCGCCCAATTATGGACCACCGCAAGCGCAGTATGGCCCACCACCACGTCCTGCGCCACAATACGGACCACCACCATCGAAGCCATCACCACAATATGGCCCACCACCTCGTCCCAGCTATGGACCACCACCACAGTCGCTGCCTTCACCATTACCTGCAGCGCTGTTCAAACCTGAACATTCCCCAGCCAGTTCTTATGGTCCACCACCCTCAGGACCGCTAAATTTGCCACCCAAACCTGTGTATGGGCCCCCTAAGCCTTCATATGGTCCACCGCTATTGGCTTTAGGACTTACCGGCCCCGGTCCAGCGCCTGCCAACTTCAACAAAGTGCCCGAAACAACGATTATACTAGCAAGCGGTGGCGGCAGTGGTGGTTCCTCCGGCGGTCATCATCACGGTAATGGCGGCGGTCCAGTAAAACAAGTACAAATCCAAATAGATGCCTCAGGTCATACGCACAGTGTTAGCGGCTCACAAGCACCATTTCACACAGCTTGCGATGGTTGGAAGCCAATACCAGCACCTGTAGGCTCGTATGTAGAAGGCAACAACATTGATACTCAATCTGGTTATAGTCATGTCGCACAAGGTAGCTTCGGCACACAGTATAGCGGTGGTGCAAGTATTCCTGGCGGCACCGGAGGCATTCATGGTGGTGCAACTGGCAGTGGTGGTAGCATTATTGCTGGATTGACTGATGAACAACTTGTAGCTGTTGCATTACAATCAGGTGGGTTCGGTGCGTCCAACCATGGACCGCAATTGCCACCATCGGGACCAGCGGGTGATTTCAAGCAACAAAATATTAACTCCATCGAAACTGATGTTTTACAGGTGAGTGCTAGAATGTTTAGATAAAAATACAAGATGCGATATATATATTGTAATTGTTTATTCCAACAGGCTTCCCTTGGCTTTGGCGATGATTCGTATAGCAAACCACCATCAGACTCTTATGCGCCCGGCTCAATACACGCACATAAACACAATAGCATTGGTGGTGGATTAATTCCACCCGGTGGTAATTACGGACCACCGCCGCCACCGCCAGTAGATAGTTACGGCCCACCACCAAGTGGTAACTACCTTCCACCACCAAGTGGCAATTATGGACCACCACCATCCCAATTGCCTCCACCAAGTGGCAATTACGGACCACCACCACCACCATTGCCACCTAGTGACAATTACGGACCTCCTCCACCACCACCTTCCAGCGCCGCTCTGTTCGTAGAAAACCAACATTCTTCCTCTCAAGCTGGTTTACATTATGGCTCGCAATCCGGCAATGTACTGAATGTTCCAACGCATGGTGCTTCGCAACCTAGTCGACCGGTATCGTTCCGGCCACCAGTACCTCAAGGGCTACTTGAATCTATTGGTGCTACCGTGCAACATTTGGATCAATTCGGTGTTAAACCACGAACTCAGCCGCCCACTTACATACCACCTGCTGCGAATGAAATCGCCGATAACGGGATAGGTTCCGAATATAGTCCACCTCCACCACCACCAGCTCAAATAAATGTACCCATCGGCGTACTTGAGCAGCAGTTGCCACAACCGCAACCGCCTCAGGTCTTCACACAGGTAAATCAGCAACACGAACATCACAATCATCAACAAAACACACAACACTTCCAACATCAACAACAACAACCATTCCAACAGCATGGTTCATTCCAAGAATTTCCACCATTGTCTCCATCTCCTCCACAACCCCAATTTCAAATTTTACCCCCCTTACAGGAGCATCGCGGCAACGCTCAAAATCAATATGGTCCACCCTTGCCACCACCACCACCGCAACAGCAGTATCTACCCCCACCACCGCCGCCACCACAACATGGTCGCCCCTTCGCACAACCCCCACCACCACCATCTCAACAATATCTGCCACCGATACAACAAACTGGCCCGGTAACCTTCCAACAACAGAGTAGTGCATCCTCCAGCTCTAGCTTCGAAAACTCATATTCAGCCTCGCAGCACAATGAGCAACTCATACACGCGCAAGCATTGCCACTGCAACAGGAACCGCGCTTCACACAGGTGCATGATTGTGGTCAGGGACCGAATCTAGTCAGTGCAGGCTATCAATTGCAGCAACAAAATCAATACCAACAACAAAACCAGTATCAGCAACAACAGCAACAGCAACACCAGTTCCAACAACAGCACTCGCAACAATACTCCGTCTCAAACTCAGTCTCGAGCAGCTCAGCTAACGCCTACAACGCTATCTCGCAAAGCATACCTGTGGCTGAGACACACACACAGTTTGTTGAACAAGAACCAGCCGATAGCTACGGACTACCGTCAGGCGGTAATCATCTCGATCACGACTATGACGGCTATGCTTCACAGAAGTCCTCTGTAGCGGCGCTACCAGATGGCACTAATCCTCATGAACTGCCCGGTCTCGATGGTCTAAATGTGATTTCCGCGCAGAAATCTCAATCCATACAGCTGTCACCCGAACAGGTCAGTGGCGCGGCGCACTCTGAATATGAACCCACTTTCCAACTGGACATAGCCGGCGATGGCGCAAAATCGATACAAACCGAACAGTCGTCCAACCACGAAGAAATACTCTCGGAAGGCTTACTACAATCGATATTAACCGCCATTGAGCAACCCCAACAAAAGGGTGTACAGCATCAGCGCACCGTACAGGTGATCACGAATCAAAACAATGATATATACGGTCATGGCGCACAAAGCCGTTCCGACACAGACATACAAGAAGATGCCACGCCCGACGACGAACACGAGCCTGAAGTAGCCGAATCTGACAAAGTTGAGGTACAAGTAAACGCCGATGGCGAAGAAGTGGCGACAGTGCAGGAAATTAAGCCGATTGTAGCGGCCGAAATCGATGATGATGTAGCGAAGCATTAGCGACCTACATATAAATAACGGTAGATGGGGTATTTTTACGAATACAAGTCGCTACTGTGGCGCACGCGCTATCCGTTATGAGATGGCTCTCGACCCGAGGTGATAATACATATGACCGAAGCTAGTTATCATCACAAAACTAATTTATTTTAACGATAACAAAATGTTCTCCTGGTGGAGCAACTAAAATATAAAATTTGATTACAAAGAAATCAAATATATAATTTTCGTACAACCTCGTTAAGGTTGCCATTAGTTTTTAAGCTCAATTATTGTACATTTACATATAATAATTATAACAAACATTCACTATCATTTTCCATTAAAGTTGCCATATCTTATTATACATGGCTTTGCCTTTGTCCTGCAAAAATGTAAACATGGAATATTTACATTTTTCGTCTTCACTGAATATAAGGACTCGGCAAAGCGGAGTGAGCATCTTTTCATTAAATGTTTAAAACTTAATGTTTATTAATTAAAACCATGTAAAATTACAAATGTATAAATAATTACGATAATTTATTTAAAATAAATATGAACGAAAAATTAATTCTTATTTACTCAAAAACTATAGAAGGAAATAGAACAGCAATAAGTTTTTCTTACCCGCCGAAGCGAGTGGCAAAAGAACTCTTTTTTAATAACATTATAGTCTGCTCTATAAAACTCTTTACTAAGTTAGAAGTCACATTTGGAAAGATGAAGTGCTTTCAAATGGCGAAACTCTTCTTAAGAGAGCGGCCTCAAATTAGGAAAATAAAAATTAAGTATAATATAACAGTTAATAAGATAGTTGAACTCTGAAATATGTATAAAATCAATGGACCTTACCAATTCATAATTAGCTATAGTATGTGTATCCTTAATGATATCATTAAAAGCTGTGCCCTATCCATTTATTGAGTTAGGTTATGTTAGGTTAAACTGGCGGGCTGTCACTCCATACATAGACCTACTGCTCCATAGTAATGCCAAATGAAGTTTCAGTTTAATTGAAGCTAAAGTATTCGTCTAACAATACGTCACCGCTTTTTGGGAAGATTAAGAGCGACTTCGGATGGATAAATGATTAAAACACTGCTTGTTTAGTAGTTATAATGACATGAGTTGGAATATGCTAAATTTCAATTGTGGTCATGACGATCGCTCATAGATAAAATGATATTTGGATATTTCATCACAATAGTGAAGGTCTTGTCATAAGAGAAATAAGTATGTGTTCTTAGGGAGTAAATATCGTGGCAATATACATTCAATAAATTTGTTGGACAATAACTGATAGATCTCACTGAAGCTAGGTATCAGTTTCAACTTCACCATATGAAAGCAGTAAGTCATAAAAGAAAAAAGTCTTTAAAGTCAGTAATCCCAAATTATTTGATAGAAACTATTGGAATTTTTTTGTTTATACTCGAAACATATTTAGTTACAGTGAAGTTGAGACCGACTTCATCCCTGTAAATATAGTGTCAGATAGTAATGTACGAGCTCGTATACTGGGCAATGGGCAGTTTCAAGCTCTTCAAATCACTGGGACTAGACGGTATATTCCCAGCTCAGCGGACAAAAGCTTACACAATAACGCTGGAAAAGCTAATGAAAGTACGCATAAGAAGCAATATAAATCTAAAAAAATGTTAGTTTCGCTGTATGCGTATTTTAAAGGAAAATCCACAGAGATAGCACTTAGCCCAAAACGGGGAGATGAGGAAATTAATTGACTAGATGATCACGGGCAGATCAAGAATTTCAACGCTTGGAGTTTCAACGCTCTGCAGATCTAACCGAAGGGTTAGGCCGTGTTACGCGGACTAAATTTTTAGCAAGGCAGAGCTAGTATTGTTCACTAAGAAACACAATATTCCAGAAATTACGCCGCCATTATTAAATGATACTAGGCTCGCAACAGGAGATTAGACAAGATACTTAGGACATAGGAAGCTTTCATGGACACTAGGGTAAAGGAAGCAGCTATAGGTATGGTGGCGAATAACGGAAAAGCAATATACGGTAAGACGTATGGAAAATATACAGCCAGTATTTGCATCAGTGGAGCTCTCAGAACAACGCCAAGCCAGGCATTAAATGTAATTTTATACTTACTGCCACCATACTTGTATGTAAGCAAATGACAGCTCCTAGACTGAGGGAATCTTCCCCATTACTAGGGATTTTCAAAATCCTATAGAGTTGAATTTAAATATGTTCCCCAATATTGCCTTCCCTTTTAGAGAGCAGTGGGAAAGGGACGAGGTGGACAAAGTAACAGGGATAAGCTTCTATACGGATGGTTCCAAACTAGATAATAGCGTGGAAGGAGGTACCTTATCCGCAAAACTAGATACCAAAATCGCTTTCCGTCTACCAGACCACTATAGTGTCTTCCAAGCGGAGATTACAGCAATTAAAGAAAACTTTCTTGTTCTGGCAAGGAGTCCGCTTACAATAAGGAATATTTTTATTTATACAGATAGTCAGGGGGCTTTGAGATATCTAAATTTTCAAAGGGTCACGCCTAAGGTAGTGAAAGAATGCCTAGATTTCTTAGTGTATCTAGCAACCTATTTCGTGATAAACCTGTAATAGACTTTAGAAAATAGTGATAACTGTGAAGCAGATGAACTAGCTGGTACAGGCACTACCGTTCAATTAGATATTAATTCGACAAATATGTTATAAACATAGCTGAGTCACGGTGGAATCAATCCCTGACTTGCTCAAAAAGCAGGCAAACGTGACATGAGTGGAATAAGGACCGCACATGCTGACTATTAAAATTTAAAAGGAATATCATATAATGACTGTTGTATAATGACGACTGTAAGGCTTTATATAGGAAAAGAATCGCAATTCTCGGTCAAGGGTTTCTTGACAACGTCTCGCAAAACTTTTCGTACTGATGAACTTCTTAAGAAGGTCTTCTAAGGCCTATGTGCATCGTAAGACAACCCCTCTACCTACCTACCTACCTACCTAGTAAAATTTTGACATTTGTTACGACTATGTTAATAGAGCTATTCTGAATTTTCGTATTGAAATATTATGAAAAACCAGTAAGTGTTAAGGCGACCATAAGGGTGTGCCGAATTTTTATTTGAAGATGCTAAACTATTTTCGATTGATGGGAGCCATGAACAACTGTTTAATTTTTTTATTAAAGTAAAACACTTTTATTTCAGCAATAAATGATATGGGAAATTATGAAGAAACGAGAAAAAGCGTTAACTTCGGTTGAACCGAAACTATAGTAGCCTACAGCCTAATAGCCTACTGCAATACAAAAAATTCTTTACAAGAACGTGGTTTTGATCGGTCAGTTTGGTTGGATGGTTCAGGGTATAAAAGCAATGAAATAATAAGCAACAATATTTTTTAAAAAACAAATGACTAGTTTTGGTTAGTATATCCAAATTGCATTATAATTTGACCACATCTTTTGTATTATATCGGGGTTTCTTATACGGATGATATGATTTCAAGTGTTGCGGCCATTTTTAATATGTTAGTATATATTATGTTTTTCATTGTATTCTAATGTTTACATACAATTTCATCATGGAAAGATATACGCAAGACCAACGTTTACAAATTATACAATTTTATTATCAAAGTAATCGTACTCCAATTACAACTTTTCGTGCGTTTTTGACATTTTATGGTCGTAAATTTCGAACATATATTTTCTTTACATAATGTTCAAATGCCAATAAGATAAAGAACTACTCGAAGTAATGAAAATATTGTTTAGACACGGGTTGCTGAAGACCGCAATTTGTCGATTCCAAGACGTTCTCAAGAATTAGGACTGTCTCAAACCACAACCTGACGGATTTTGAGCAAGGCCTTGCATTCGTATAAAATTATTCTCATTTAAGAACTGAAGGTATTGGACCACCGTAAACGTCGTGAAATTACTGAGTTTGCCTTGGAACAACTTGAAAACGATAACGATTTTTTTAAGAAAATCACTTTCATCCGAGTGGGGAAGTAACAAAACTGTCGATTCTGGTGCGAGGAAAATCCACAGAATTGCGATTCGGTGTGGTTTTCGGTCTGGTGGAAACATCGGTCCGTACTTCTTTCGAAATGAAGCTAGAGCACCGTTACTGTCTTTGGAGAGTGGTATAGATCGATGACAACCAACTTTTTATGGTCGCAATTGAAAGAAGTTTATATTGACAACATCTGGTTCCAACAAGACGGGGCAACATGTCACCCAGCACATGCAACAACCGAATTATTGAGAGACAAGTTTTTAGATTCGATAATTTCAAGAAATTGTGATATTGAATGGCCTCTAAGAAGTTGTGATTTCACACCATTTAACACAATAACAACAATTCCATCCTGCAAGAGAAGTCGTGGAGGCCACTTGATTGATTGTATATTCAGAACTTATTTATATCGATTGTACTTTACATTAAATAAAAAAACATTTGCATTTCGTTAACATCGTATCACTTTTATATGAGAACCCTGTATAGCTGCAACAGCTTTTTTACTCGAAATTTCACTAGGTATTAAATATGTGGCTCAGTTGGAGCTCAAAGCATCATAGAAACTATTTTCAGTGTCCCATTGCGGACATCCCTAATGTGCAAACAAAATATTTATATATTTAAAATGCTACAAGTATCCCACAATCGACTGTACGTTGGAAAAAAAATTTCAGAAATTGAATTTCAATCCAGTTGAATTGATGTCGTCAATTGACGTTGTGTGCACAGGGATTTAAGAGCAAATTATTCTTTATTTTTGTGAGTGATGTATTTTTTGCTGCACTCTTTATTTTTCTGCGGATTGTTTGAGTGTTCGGTTTGTTTACCTTGCCGTGTTTGTATGTTGTTATTTGAGAAAATAAACAAATATCTGAATGTGATATTGCTGCTTTTGTTTCTTACAAACAAAAACAAAAACACAAATAAAAACAAATATTAAGTAAAATTGTGGAATATATACATGTATATATGTATGTATATAAGCGAAAAAATTTTAAAACGCTTGGCAAAAAAAAAATATTAAAAAAACACAAGCGCATGAAAATGTTGAAGACAAAATATGCGCGTGTGTATGGTATAACCAGAATAAATATGAAACGTGTAAAATTGGACAGAATTGTGAGAGAAATACAAACCTACAGCAACAACAACGCTGAGTTCGTCAGAGCGCAAGGGAATAAGCGCTAAATGGAAAAAAACAGAAAATAATGCAAGCGCACAGCTACACGTTTACGCAAACAAATAAATATATAATAGCTGGAAAAATACTGCAGAAAGAAAAAGTTTGCACAAAAGAGAGAAAAATCTACAAATCTACAAGTATGAGTTGCAATAAAAACAGACTAGTGGCAACAAAGTTGCAAGCAGCCGGCAAAAGCAACTACCAACGTGTTGTGTGAGCGATGTTGCCGTTGATTTCTATTTTATTATTTTGTTGTTGATATTGCCATTTTGACAGTCATTTCCACAAATGCAGCTTCCAGGCGCCAATATAGCACTACAAATGGCGGCAATGTTTTAACAAATAAATATGTAGCATAACATATTGAAT